AATTCGAATATTCGAATATTGGCACATTCCACAATTCGAATGAACGAATACTTGAATAACCGAACTTGATCGAATATTCGACTAATTTCGAATAAATGTTCGAATATTATTCGAACATTTGAACGTAATTTTCGAATATTCGAATATTCGAATAACTATCTTTTCAAACTACTCGAATGAACGAATATTCGAATAACCGTTTTTTAAAACTCCTCGAATGAACGAATATTCGAATAAGTCATTTTTCGAAATCATCGAATGAACGGATTATTCGAATAAAGACCTTTATAAATTATTCGACTATTCGAACAATCGAATAAATGGACTTTCTCGAATATTCGACTATTCAAATATTCGAATAGTCGAATATTTCGAATAAATTATTCGAATACGAATATTCGGTTCCAACTATAATAGAAATTGTGACCTGCTGTTTCTGAATTTGTCTGTCAAACTGTGAAAATTCTCAGGCATTTGCGCCTGGATCAAACTCAGGGCTTTCCATATCACTTGAATTTGACCATCTATGGCCACGCAAACAGTTAGAAATTCAAAGATTTGTTGTTAGGGTAGCGGATCTACACTTTAACACCTGACTTCCGTTCGTTTTTCAATGCGTGAATTCTCGAAATTTTGAGGAAAAAATCTGACCAATTTTGTTCCCTTCACCATTTCATTATCAGAAAAATTATTTTTGCGAAAAGAAAATCAACCACCCGATTTTCTTTTGTGCTGTTTTCATGGTACCACATTTGACACAAAAACTAATTTGTGACAAATTTATTAGGTTGTCCCATAAGTTTTTTCATTTTTAAGTTTTCGCTATACTAAGTCACACACTTCTTATTCTAAATAGACATCAGGATACCATTCGATAAAGCAAAGCAAGCTCTATAAGATGGCTCCTTGCATTAGCAACGGCTTTGATCCACCACGAGTTTAAAACCAAAATCTAAAAAGTTTCGGATGCCCAAAAATTAAAAATTCTTTACGTCTTCATTCAAAAAGGTCCAACAAATCTTCCACTCGCTCACGCATATACACTTCACATCAGACATTCATATGTGCTGTTGCCGTATTTTTTTATATGCTAGAAAACAAGAAACCGAAATTTCCATGTTTTTACCAAAGTGATGCTGTGCTATTCTTACACTAAGAATTGTATACTAGAAGCCCTTAGAAGTACTACCGTAGATTTTTGGCTTTCTGTATGCTCTGGTTCACGAGAGATATCAAATTTAACTTTCATCACTCGGGCTTTTCACGCTTAAATCAACATTTCTCGGAAACTAGAGCTTGTGAAGAGCTAAAAATTTACAATAGTACTTCTAAGGGCTTGCAGTATACAACTGTTAGTGTAAGAATAGCACAGCATCACTTTTGTAAAAATATGAAGATTTTCGGTTTTTGATTTCTAGCTGGTAAAAAAAAATAGCAAGCACATTTGAATGTCTGATGTGGAAAGTATATGCATGAGCGAGATAGAGACCCTGTAGGATTTCTTTGAACAAAGATATCAAATTTTTCGGTTTTTTGGGCATCCGGAACTTTTTGAATTATGGTTTAAAACTTGAGGTGGATCCTGAAGCTAGTGCAAAGCATAAACGCCATCTTACACAGCTTGCTTTGCTTTATCGAGTGGTATCCTGATGTCTATTTAAAAGAGAAGTTTGTGACTTATTACAGCGAAAACTCAAAAATGAAAAGACTTATGGAACAAATAACTAATACCAAACCTAAAAACGACCGAACTTATTTTTTAGCCAACCTAATAATATTTTAGCTTTTCAGCTCTACTTTCACGCCGACAACGTCTTTTCTTTTCAACGAAAAATCTGGCAATACCGTGTTTTCGTAATCTTTTGTCTTCTCTTTAGTTTAAATCTTTTCACGCGCTTTTTTACAGTTTGTTTGAAAGTGTCTTTTGCAGTGCTTTGTAGGTACACATTCGATACATATAGATACTAAAAGTTTGGTTGTGAGATGACACCAACAATGGAAGCAATCCGCCAATGTCACTCAAATCCTAATTTGGATTTTTTGGAGTCTTATGACTAGAACGGCTTGGATAAAAAAATTTTGAACTTTAATTTGCAGAAGGTTTCGCAAAGAATTGTCTGTTTGAACAAAAAGTATTATGTGGCAAGCTGAATCGCACGCTTGAGCTTATTAATGGAGACCATACAATTGTAGTGTGAGACTTTTGCGCCCTATATTTTTATTGTTATGCTTTTAATCTAGACAAAATTACAGAATGTAGTCAAGAAACAGTAAATTAGCTTCTTTCTAGCCATGACTGACTTAGCTTTCAAAGAGCTTTCGCATGTTTCTGGTGCACGCTTTGATTCATCGGGATGGCCGGTGGAAGGCGATCGCTCGCGTCCGCGATACAGTCTGCGTCTCCCGCGAGAGCGCGCCTTCTAATCACTCCCTCTTGATTTGGCCTCGAAGCCGCGCCTTCCAGCCTCCGGTCCCGTCGAATCAATGGATATATGATGTTATGTTGTCTCTGCGACACTCGCAACTCGAGCATGATTATTATCTTTTACAATCATGTGTTCTGATCATATAGTTGCGTCCCAAAGGAGTTATCTTTCCCAGAGGGTTTTGTCTTTTTTCTTCATCCTCTCCAAGGCTTTGTTAACACGTGCAAGAGGTGTATTTTTCTTTTTCATTTCTTTGTGTAGAATCTGATTTGTTGAAGGTTACTGCCAGTGGTGTGGCAAAGCACATGGCAGCAAACAGATGCAAATTCGGGTTTTATGGGATAAGCCAATTATTTGATACTTTAAGATAAGGCACGCTTTAATGAAAGATTGTAGATAAAGTCTTTATGTGACTTCACCACTCCAATACATAATAGGAGATTAGTGAAGCTGCATCACCTTATCTTGATTTGCGAATCTTCAAAATGTTTGAGTTTTGCCCATTTATTAGCGTCTCATTTTCAAGCTAGAGAATAGATATTGGATGTGTAAGACAGACGACATTATTCGCCAGAAAGGGTAATGAGAGATCTTCCGTTTCTTCAGTTTGCACAAAAGTGGACTTAGTAGAAAGTTCTGAATCGCGTTGTAATCAGGGGAAGGGGACTTATTTACTCAAAGCGCTTTTTATCCGCTGTGCAGATGAAAAGCGATTCCAAGTTCAGTGTAGATATAACACACCTCAAACTGTTGGCACGAAGGTAAGCTATGCAGAAGCCTAGTAGGGCTCTCTTGGAAGTAAGGGCAAGCCAAGTTTAAAATAGCAAGAAAACAAACTTTTAAGATGAATCAAACATATGATCGCGAGACCAATGGCAGCACTTCTCGAATATAAAAGCATAAAATAGCAAAAAATCTTTATATCTACTTAATCACTGATCAACAACCGCGTATACGATATGTACGACAGATGAATTTTTCTACTGAACTGTTGATTGAGGAACGAAACTTATCTACACAAAGCGCTTGCCGCAGCGTGATTATAGAGGTCATGAGTTGTCAGCAACGTTGACTAGCACCTGATCCGTACCGTATGCAAAAGCAATGTGTGCATACAGCACCCTCTCATCCGAGAAAACTTGAAATGGAATTTCTATGAAATTTTAAATCCAAAGTTCAGTAGCGATATATGTCGATTGAAGTAAAAACTTGCATTTAGGGATTCTCAAGCACGCTGTTTTCAAAAATGGCTTTGCTCAATGCTTTCAAATTTATTCCCTTTTCAAGAAATAAAGCTTTTACGACTTCAATATAGACTCAAAAGCTGTTCAAGGAATTCATCACGTTTATTTTTCAATCTACAGTAAGGTCGTAAAAGGCTCTGTCTCTCAGAAAAGGAATAAATTTGAAAGTATTGAACAAAACCATAAGCATGTTCGAAAACAGCGTGCTCGAGAACCCTTAGACGCAAATTTTTATTAGATGACATGTATCGCTACTGAGCTTTGAATTCGAATTTTTCATTGAAATTCAATTTCATGTGTTCCCCGATGAGGACGAGGGTGCTATACACGCATTGCTTTTGCATACGTTGCTGATCAGGTGCTAATCAACGTTGCTGACAACTCATGACCTCTATAACTACGCTGCGGCAAGTGCTTTGAGTAGATAAGTTTCGTTCCAAAATCAACGCTTCAGCAAAAAAAAATCATCATTTGTAGATCTTGGTAGCACGTGGTTGTTGATTAGTGATTAGTGAGACAGAATTTTGCTAGATGGTTTTACCTTTGAGCAGTGCTGCCAGAATTTGTTCTTGCAATCGTATGTCTGATTCCTCTCAAAAATTTGTTTTCTTGGCTAATTTCAGGGTCTTGGCTTGCTCTTACTTCCAAAAGAGCGTTACCAGTCTGCATAGCTAACTTTCCTACCAGCAGCTTGAGGTGTGTTGTTTCCACATAGAGCTCAAAATTCTCTTCACCTGCACGACAGGCCTTACCACAGGCTTGCAACTTGTTTGAAAGCTAACCAAAGCCGTTCACTAAATTTTCGCAGGAGACGCTTGAAGTATTTTAGCATGTAATCGTAAACCCTCATAAGCAATGTCCTTTTACTCGAAGATCGACAGCGCGTCACTCCGCATCTCCGTTCAGTGGAGGCGGTACTTCGAAGCACTATGGGGTCAAACAAGTGAGATTCAAAGGGAGTCGACATCGTGTTTTTCCGTTTCGTTTGTATGTTAAATTCAGTGCAAATATTTGAATATTCCGTTTTGTCAAGCAAATTATGGATTATTAAGACAACATAACACAACTAATTTCGCTGGTATTGTTGAGCATTTGCAACCACGTATTGTGGGCAGTGTTAGAACTTCTAACACTTTCGCAGAATCCCTTACTTTTTTGTGTGCGATATATTGTAGATGTTAGATATATTGTTACTAAAGGAATGCTATCGGTTCTGTCAACATCTGCGTAAGACATTTTGTCGATATACACGAGTTGTTTCATGCAGTCTCTGAGTGATAGGTGAGAGACATCCTCAGTGTTGGAATGTTAATTTGCTGAAATACCAGAGGTGCGTGAAGGATTTATTCGAACGTTGTGACTCAGTTTTTGCAAATCTTGAGTATAGTGCAGATTTTTGTCGGGTCGATCTTTTGCTGAAAGATTCCGAATTGTTCGAAGGCAGAAATCATATAATTGAATACTACTAAACTATGCGTCGTAGGGTGCATGAGTAGTGATGAATATAGATTTTTAACTCACCTTTAATAGGTTCACAATGGCGCCCATTTTGTCCGCTACGAGGCTCCTGCATGGGCCCCGGAGGAGGAATGGAGCGGTTCTATCACAGAATGCCATTGCAAGCTGAAAGTTGCTTAGTTAGTACAATAAAGTTGTTTGAACAGTATGCTTATGTGAACTACAATCATGGAGCGATAAACACAAAAACCTGTCGACCATCCACTTTTCCTCCAATCGTTTTCACAAAGCCGGTCAATTTTTGGCACACGCCACATAGGGAGGGGAGCCCAATGTACGAGACATGACCCTCAGCAAGGAGAATTACTGCCAAAAACACTAGCAGAAGTCTCATTTTCTTCAGTTAGTTTGTCTGAAAGAACGCAGTAAACCAAGTAGTATAACATGACGAAAAATGAGCAAAATTGGACAAAGTGGCGATGGTAAACCGCCTTCATATAGAGAGAGCATCTGGTGCTATCACTGATAGGCAGCTTAGTTCTGTCCGTTTCTTACGTAATCGTATATGACTGAAGGAAAAAATCCAAACCCATGGGATTTACTTAGTTTGCTCAAAGCTTTGAATGCTGGATGATAAGACAAAGAGCATTATGTTACAGAGTCCACACACTATGGATTTGCAATTTTGAACGACAATCGTTCTATAATCGAAGAATAAGAGCAGAATTTTGAAGTTAGTGCAGAAGGTTATGAATATGTTTTGACCCCATAAGGTGTGGAAGTAACGAGTTAGCGTTATATCAAATGACTTTTTATACAATATACTGACTAAGTACACTATATGAAGCAATGGTAAATTCCAAAAACTTGACACCTTGCCGTACACCCCTCACTCAAGAGCCCCTTGGGTTAAATGTAATTTTCATTTGGCATGCTACACTTTTTATAAATTCTATAAACCATTACCTGATAGATTTTTTTAAAGCTGGAGCTCTGAAAGCGTCCCTCCAAAACCCTCTAAAACCTGCATGACTTGGTTTGAAATCAGTAAAATTTCTCATTATTTATCCATAACAAAATGATGTCTTTTGTTAATGTTTACTCTGGATTACCTTTATATAGCTTCCAGAGTGTGATTACAGAAATAATAAAAAAATTGTGGGCTGCCACAAAGAATCTTATCAAAGCAAGCTCACATTTTCGTAATATGGGGTTGAGAGAATCCTTTGAAATTCGAACTGTCGAGATTTCGTATTTCGGGTTTGATCCACCAACTGCCTTCGTCCGTAACCACTCCATTCCTGATATAATTTGTAAGCTCGAAATTTGCCATATTCGGAAATTTTTTCCCAACTTTCCACCTCCTTGGAGAGTTATAGTTCGAGTCTTGTCAGCTTTAGCATCATCCGACATAAAATCCATCGTACTGCACCTGCTATCGCAGAAACGGAGCACATACTTTAACCAGTAGGTCACGCCATAGAACATGCTGGTTTTTCTAAGTATGTAAAGTTCAGAGATGGAGGTGAGGAAGGAGGTTTCTTTACGTACAATACCGCTCACAAATGCGCAATTCTCGTGAATTTCCCAAAATGTCGCGGAATCATGTGAAACACGCAAACTACGCAGCGCCATAACTTCCTTCATAGTAAATATATTCTGAATCCGGAAGCAGCTTTGTATTCAGCTCTCAAGCCAAGTCTTTTCGTTGAGCCTGTGCTCATATTCCGTTTTCAGTTTTCTCAAATCTTTATGCGGAGATCATTTCGCAAAGATGTAAAGCAACGCACATTGCTCCGGTAGATTCTAGCAAGGACCTTTTCAGGAAATTCCTTTGTAGAATTGAGAACGACATGAATTTTTCCAGAGTTCACCAGACCTGCTATTTTTTTTGGAAAATCTGCGGCTACTTTTAGCCCTCTACGTAATACAGGGCTAAAATGTCGTTCTAAATTTTCCTTACCGTATACTATGAACCATTCTTGCTAAGCAAATGTGATATTCGTAATCGGCAGGTGGGATAACCTTCATAAGTTTTCCGAGATGTTCGCGTTATTTCATTTTTTTCTCGTTTTACGCTCTGAAGCTCGCGGATGAATTTTGATCAAAATGTTGATGATCTTGAATTGAAGAGATTCCTATTCCTCATAAAAATTTACGAACGCGCTGTTTATAAAACTTATGGTCTCTATGGAGTACAGCTTTTTTTCAGAGATGGTACTGTGAGTCACGAAAGTTGGTAACTTCGCCTGCATTTCTCGCGTATCTTTCAGAAAACTTGACCGCTTCTTTCATAGGTTAAAGTTACTAGGACTGTGCCTTCGAATGGTATCTTAAGCTTTAACCCAAATCGCCAAGTTACGAGCCTACGAAAACAAATCCTCACGAATTTTGCCTAAATGTGAAGATCGCATACTTGTCAACCACCGTGCATAGTTGTATAACATGCTGATCAGTTCACATCGCTTAATGAATCCATATTGGATTTAATAGTTAGATAGCTCTGACTTCTAACCACAAAACTGCTTTGATATACAATTGAACACTGAAGCACACGCAACAACAATTTCCAATACAATGAGATCCCTCGGGCGAAGGGAACATAATATTTGCAATCAAAATGTTACAATCACTATGGTGAATTTCGACGAAGCACGCGATCTTTACAGATTGGGCGGAATTTATGAGGACGTGTCTTCGTAGGCGCGTAACTTGGCGATATAGACTGGAGTCTAAGGCATGCACCATTCAAAGGCACAGTCCTAGTAACTTTAACCTATGAAAGCAAGCGGTCAAGTTTTCTGACACATACGCGAGAAGTGCAGGCGAAGTCACGAACTTTCGTGATTTAGTTACAGTTATCTCACGATAACTCTGCGAAAAGACCCTGTATTCCTCTACCACGATTTCCGTGAACAGTCTGTCCGAAAACCTTCATAAGCAAAGTTTCCTCACAATCCAAGATCATCAACATTTTGACCAAAATCTATCGGCGAGACTTCAGAGCGTAAATGAGAAAAAGAAAACCACTCGAACATTTCGAAAAATTTGCTCAGGGGATTTCCGAACTGAGTAAGTAAAAAAACGTTTGCGAAAGTTCCTACACTTATGCCTAATTGTCACTGCTATCTCTTCGCAGCAGACGTGCGATAATGGGAGCCGATTCTCCCCCTTTTTCACTTTTGAGCTAGTACAGGGTGACCACCTTCACTTTAAGGTTTTGAAAATTTTTCTGCTGAATGAAAAAAGGAAAATACGTAAAACAAATGCTGAAATAAAAGTATTTATCAGATGGGGCAATTGGAAGTAAAATTTATAAATTTTGTTACATAGTGAAGCGAAAAAATAGATCGATCCAGGGAGTAACCGCCAAGAACCAGAATTTAAAATAATTGAATAGTGAAAAAAACATGCGAAATTTCCACTATTATAAATCTGATATATGAAGATGTCAGCAACCGAAATTTCATTGGTTCTTGTTGTTCTATCAGATAGTGAAGGAATCAGATTCGAGCAGTGGCCGCTGAGAACGAGAATTTCGAAAAATTAAGCGGTTTTAGGATGCTTAGTGACAGCTGACGTTTAGACTCCTATAAATCTGGAATGTGAAAATGTGCAATGTTGCGACTTCATAGATTTTGTAGAGTAAGGACTGCCTTATCAGAATATATTTTAGCTGTACCGATCCGTTCCAACGCAGCCGAAAGCCAGACTCTCAGAGAAGCAGTTAAAAAACGCTTTTCAAAATTTAACAGCTAGTTCTCCAGAACTGCATGAATAATTTTAAGACTTTACAGGTTAGATTTTCCTCATCAAGAACTTTCAGATGTTATATAGCTTGTGGGCATTTGGTGCCTTCTATGACTTATGCCCGAGAGGGAAACTTTTCATCATTAATTTTCCCCCTCCCCACTTGTATTGGCTAAAGGCCGCCAGAGGAGAATTAGTGATGAAAAGTTTGTCCTCCCGGGCATAAGCCGCAGCAGGCATTAAACCCCCACATATTATAATCATCTGAAAGCTCTCGATGAGGAGAATCTAAGCTGCTGAAACATGATTCAACATGATTCTGAAAAAGTTAGGAGCTGTTAGAATTCGAAAGCGCTTTACCTACTTACTTAAGAGCCTGGATCTCGGCGTTGTTTGAATGGATAGGTGCGTCTAAGACTTATTCTGATAGGGCATACCTCACTCTACAGAACCTATGAAGTCGCAACATCACACACCTTTACATTTAGGTATACGAGTTTAGCTATTAAAAGTCATTAAGCAAACTAAAATGGCGTAATATTTTAGAATTCTAAATTTCGGCGAATCGACTTGATTCTTTCAGTATCTAATAAAGCACCACAAACTCTTTAAAACCTCTAATGTCGAAATTGCTGACAACTTCGTTCACCAGATTTATAGCAATGGAAACTTCGCATAATTTTTCACTATTCAATTATTCAAAATTCTGGTTCTTGGCGGTAACTCCCTGGATCGATCTACTTTCTTCGCTGTACGTTGAAACAAATTTTACTTAATAAAATCCGCACAGTTCCGCTGAGTTTTACTTTTAAATACACTACTTGATAAGCACGTCTATTTTAGATATTTATGCCGCTATATACACAAAAATGTGCTGTCAATGATCTCTTTTGCATTTGTTTTGCTTATTTTCCAGCACTGGCGGCAACGATCTGGAAGGAGGCTCAGTCGACGTTGACGCCCCCCCCTTGACGTTTTTGGGAGGTGGATCAGCACTATCACCTTCACTTACTGCGTTCAGTGGTGGCTGGGACAACCTTCACTTTTAGGGTGCTCCCCCATCGCACCTCTTCTTCGCAGTCAAGTTTTGTTCAAGTTAACGTTTATCAAAAGTCGAATACCAATGCTTTTTTTACACTGAACCCAGGGATCTTGCGAGGAAGCCGATAATAAAAGCTTACTTCGCATCATCCCTTTGATATCTAGAGACAGGGCCTCAAAAGTGAAGGGTGGTTGAATAACTGCCCCTCATAAAAAGTAAGAGTTGTTTACAGAAAATCAGAGAAAAAAAGATGGAATATCAGCAAAAGCAAAAGGAAATCTTAACCGAACAAAAACACTGCAATAAATTCAAATTCATTTGGCGGCATTCCAATTTGCAGACACTCGCTTTAGGACCAGACAATCCACAACGGTAAGAAGTGGGAACGATAAAAGCTAATTCTTTCTATGGGTTTGCTTCAGAAACAGCCACTTGGAGAGTGGTTACCAGGAAGAAGATAAACGAAAAGAATTAGTTATAAAATGCAAAGTTTTGTTTCCCACAAGTCGAAATGCACGTCAAACCCAAACTTAGTTTTTCGTTCCTTAGGCTATTCCCGCCCATTTTCGTTCTTGTTTCCTGCGAGGTTGTCTGGAATGCTGCGCTCATTATTATTAGCAATGATCGCCAAGTTGGAAAAAATTCTGCGA